TTTAGAACCAACTCCCACTGCGAAGGTTGGCTGCTGTGTGAAAAGGAAGAGGGCAGGCTCCAGTGGTGCCATGGGCTGTGGAAGGGCCTCAGGCCGGAGCAGCTCTGTGGATTCTCTTTCTGTGAGTGTGATTTGCGATCAGCTCGGTGAATAAGACTCATCAGCCATCACTAAGGGATCTTCTCTCGTGCGTTGAAGAGAAATTCACCGTGGCTGAAAGCGGGTCCAGCAGATCTTGCCCGTTTCCATGCTCCGCTGGAACTGATGAACGCACTTGACTTTGCCCCTGCCCCCAGCACTGCGGGGAGATGGGAGGTTGGCTTTTCAGTTCTGCTCTGCCCGTCTGCTTGTCTGCGCTCATGTCACAGCCTGGTGCTACCAGGAATGGCACTCTGATCCTCTCCTGGCACGGAACCAGAACTCATGTACCTCTGTTGTTCCTCCTCCCCTCTTCTGCCCTCAGTTCTCCACTTCCTACTGCTCTTTATCCTGAAAACTTGATACCTTGAGGGTACAGGCCATAATGTGTTGTTTTACCTCCGGGAATGTGCTGTCTGGTGTATGTGAGGGTTTCAGTTCAAATGCTGCTATATATTTCTGTGCACTTAATGTAACCCGAAGAAGGGAGAATGAAGCATCGATACCAAAATGGGGATGGGGAAGGACACTGGCTCACACAGACACTGCGCTCTGTGCTTTTCACTTCAGCAGGTATAGCCAGGCTGCAGTGATCAACAGGACACGTGCATCTGTTCAGTGGTGGAAACGATCTCTCCGACTTATTCCAGCGCCACCTAAAATGCCTCTAGAATTTGACTTTTTTCGTTTCCTGTACAGTGGTCAAAGTTCAGAGTTGCCAACTTGTAACTGCCTCTCTGCTTCTTGAAACTAGAGAGCCGGAATCCCAACTCACTCTGAGGAAAAGGAAGTGGGGCTAGAAAGAAAAAAGGTTTAGGAGGAAGGTGGGCTTTGGGTGGGCTTTTAATCCCTAGATCCCTTGGAGAGCACCCGTCCCACCTCCTTTCTAAGAGATCTGTGGTGTTAATGAGGAAGAAGAGTTTCAAAGTGGGGATTTCTCTGCAGAAATGCAGAGGTGTGCTCCAGCTAAATGAAAATGTCTGATAAATTCTGCACCTCAAGAGCTGAGACTTTGTGTGTGTGGGGAGGACGTGTGAGGATGTTTGCTTCTACTAACCAGGCAAAGTACTTGATGCTGTTGCGATCTCCCAAATTCTTTGCTAATGGTTTGTCATCTCTGTGGGAGGGAGTGTAATAACAACCCTTGCCTGCACTTTGATATGTCAGCCTCTGGTTTTGTAAATCCCAATAGTGCAAGCAAAGCTAGCATCATCTGAAGACCCTGTACTTCCTTGGACTCTGCTTCTTTTCCATACCGGGAACAACCAAGATGGCTTTGGGAAGAGAAGGCACCTTGCTTCAGCTTCTTCCCTGCCTTCTACCGTGCAGTCATTGCCAGACATGGGAGAGTGCCCATTGGGCTGGCAGAAGAAACTGGATTTGCTCCTGTTTTGCACGTGTTGGAGTGACTGCATGCGATGGGGAAGCCAGAAACTAGGTACTCCTGGCCCTTTCGTTCAGGCCATTAGTCCAAACTGCTTTTAGCTCTCGTGAGTTCAGCGTCACAATGTGCTGGCCAAAAACCTCTAAAATCAGTTCCATAGCATTGTGACAAACAAAATGTGCTGTACAACTCAATGCAGTCGAAATAAAATCTCTATATTAGTGCTGCTGTGTTTGGGACCCATCCTTTTGTTTGTGCTGAATTCTTCTCATGGTGTTTCCCAGGCTGCTGGCACTTGCTGCTTCTCCCCTTGACGAAGGTACTTTAGGGATTTAATATTCCGTGTCACAAATCAGAGTGAAAGGTAGGACACGCAGCCCCCTGTGCTATGGTCTCCTACCCCGAGGCCCCACACGCTCTTCCCAGCAAACGCGCAGCTGCCTGGGACACCAGCCTCTTCCAGCCTCGCCTGCAATGACCCAAAAAGGGATTTTTCTTTCCCAGGGAAGGACTCGGACAGGAAGCACCAGCTCTTGACCACCACATTTATACCAGATTTTGTCTGGTACTTTTATGGTTGTGTTCTGCGCTGCAGAAAGATGGATGGGGACCATCGTGCTTAGCTTGATGTGCCAAGGGACATGTTGGGAAGTTACAGTTTGTGGTTGAGCTGGAAAGAATCTTCTAGAAAGCCTGTCATGAATTTAAAGCCCCAAAGATCTTGTAATTAAGCAGATGCTCTGGTAAACTAGTACTACAGTTCAGGTCAGTGTTCATATTAGACAGGTGCTACAGAAACCTCATAGCAGCCTTCCAAATACCTGAAGGGACCGGTAAGAAAGTTGGAGTGTCCTTTAAACAAGAGCCTGTAGGGACAGGCCAAGGGGAATGGCTTTAAGCTGCCAGAGGGGAGACTGAGATGAGCTCTGAGGCAGAAGCTCTTCCCTGTGAGGGTGCTGAGGCGCTGGCACAGGGTGCCCAGAGAAGCTGTGGCTGCCCCATCCCTGGCAGTGTTCAAGGCCAGGTTGGACACAGGGGCTTGGATCAAGCTGCTCCAGTGGAAGGTGCGGGTGAGGCTGCCCCGGCGCGGGATCCCCCTCAGCCGCCGGGGCCGGGGCCGCGCTGCAGGCGGGCGGTGCGGCGGGAGGGGGAGCCCGAGGCCCCGGCCGCGGCGGCTCCACCCTCGCTGTGTGTCCCAGGTAGGAGAGCGCGGCCGCCACCGCCCCGCGGGCCCCGCCGCTCCGCCCCCGCCCCGCGCTCGGCCGAGGAGCGGCCTCCGCGGAGCCGGTGTCCGGCGGCCGCAGCCCCCGCCGGGCCCGCAGCCCGCCCCGCCGCCGCTCCCGGCCCAGCCCGGCCGCCGTCCTCCGCCGTGCGCCCGCAGCCGGCAGCCGCGTCCTGCGGCGGGAGCAGCACCCGGCGCGCTGCACGAGCCTTCCCGAGCCGCTTCGGCTCCGTCCTCGGCTCGGCGGCTGCCTGCGGACACGTCGCCTCCAGCCGGGCCGGCCCCGGAGCTCGCTGTCGGCAGCAGCGTACCCTTGGCTCTCGCTGGAGCCTCTCTGGGGCTGCGGAGCTCCACTCGCACTTACCTACCTGCCTGCTGCCGGCCGACGGAAACCAGCCCGCGCCCTGCTCTGAACACTCGCCTTTAGTAGAAATACCACAGCTTTTAGTTTTTCTCTGTGAATTTAAGACCATCACCAGACCCACGCGCTTTCCTCAAGCTACTGCAAATCGCTTTTGCCCGGGATTTACAGCAGCGTTTCCCGTCCCCGGCTGCCCTCCAGCCGGCAGCAGCCCAACAGGTTGGAGGAGCTTTTCTCTTTCCTTTTTCTTGCCAATCCCTTTTTTATTCCCCTTTGCAGCAATCGCTGTAATTTGCTTTAATTGACAACATCATCTGCGCGAATCGTGCCAGCTATGAAGTTTCCTCCTCGAGCTTATTTGTCTAGATGAACTGAGTTAATCGCTGGCGAGTTTTGGATTTTAGCGCTAATGCAGTTAGTGACTGTATCAAGGGCAATTCGAGTCTGTGTTTCTGTCGCTTCAGCAAACAGCGCTATTCGTGAACCCGGAATCGTGACAGTTCTTCGTGATCGCGACCGGCAGTAATCAGAGATGCAGCCGAGCCGCCCCCAGCCCCTCTGATCTCGGAGCACTGCACGGATCCCAGTGCCCATTTTGTGCCAAATGTCTGAACGCAACAGAGAACGTCGGCGTAGCCACCCGCGCGATTGCCTGGGATAAATTGCTGCGGGGATGGGCGTGTGCGCCATCCCCGGCGGGAATAGAAGGGGCCCCAAAATGTTGGAGAGATGGCGATAAAGTGGTGGAGCGGATACAGCGGTTTCGGAGTCAGCGAAAAGGTAAAACGGGAAAGGTAAAGGAATAGTTTGTGCAGTGCTGGGATTGTTTCTCTTGCGCGCAAAAGGCAATCAGATAGTCCCCTCCCCCGAAACAATTGTCGATGGAGAATCTCTTGCTTTGGAATCGGGAAACGAAGTGTTGAAAACTTGGCTGACTCCTGAAAAAGAAAACGAAGGAAACTTGAGGGCACGAGTTGGTGACCTCACGAGTGAAACAACCTGAGAATGCTGCAACCCGAGCCAGGTTTTCAGCAGGAACCATCGGATGTGGGGAGCCGAGTGCCGCCGTCGGGTTCAGCGGAACAGATCCGGCAATAAATCTGCTGTGCGGAGCCTGCAATGTGGGCTGGAGGTACCCGGCACCGTGATGGTAACGAGGAACTGGAGGAAGGTTGTGGTTGTTATTTTGCCCCAGAACCCTACCTATGCGGTCCTGTATTAAACCTGAAATCGCAAAGGAGGAGGCGATGATGCCCGTCCTGCTGCCCGCACCATCCCAGGGGCTTCTGCTTAACCGTTAAATTTGCAGGACAAATACTGCAGGTGGCAAGTGTAATACAAGTCGGAATGTGCGTGTTGAGTCTCCCTCACGGGAGGAGACCGAATGTTCCCGAGGGGAGCAGAAGTGGGAGATTTTTGGCGTCCCAGAGCGTTTTGAACCACTCCACCCGGCGACCACAACTCTCCGTTGACCACTCGAGCCGTTTCCTGGGGCGGAGGTACAGACCCGCAGGAGTGAGGGGACGCTCCTGGGATTAACCTGCGGAGTTCGGGGATCTCGCTGCACCCGTGCCAACGGCAGCCAGCAATGGAGGAGAGATCCCCAGTGCCCCCACCGATCGATCCGGCCAGAGGAGCTCCGGCCACCAGGAAAACTTCAGATCCACACACGCCCCCAAAAGGAAGCAAATCATTCATTCTAAATCCGTGCCCTCGGCCCCAGAACGGGCTTTATTTGACTTCGCTAATATCCCGACCAAAAAGTGGCATCGCCGGGGCGGGCAGTGAGCCGCCCTGACCGATGGGGTGCGCAGTGCAACGGCTCTTTGGTAAACATGAGGAGCCCGTCCTCTCCATCACGACAGGACCCAGGGGATCGTCTGCAAACCTCGTAGATGACGCAGGGGAGTAGACGTCGGGAGTTACTAATCGACCGGCAAACGACGTGGATAGGAAGCCAGTTCACCGTAAAAGGAACGCTCGGGGAACTGAGGGAATGATCAAAGAGTGTCCCACTGCAGAAGCAGCCTTACGGCTCCCGGAGAGCAGAAACTAACTGGTGCTCAAGTACCGGTTGTGCTGCTCATAGGAGCACCCTGGGGTTTGATCTGCTCTACGGCAGGACGTGGGAACTCCCCGGTGGAACACTTTGGAGTTTTGCTGGACGAGGGGATGGAGAATGGCCCTTATCGATGCTGAATGCAGTTGTAGAGTGGACTCGGGAATCGGGACCAAACCCGACTCCGTTATCAGAAGTGTCCATCCTTGCGCCACCCTCGCAGGTCACTAACGCGGGACAATTCCCCTCGCCGGCTGCCGCACAGCGGGGAACTGACGGGGTGGTGACGGATCTGGGGAAGAAGCGTTATCACCCGTGCGCGTTCTCCCGACAATTGCTCTGTCTGGCCGCTGAAAACAACGACGGCGTCGAGGCGGCTTACGAGTGCGGGTGACGAAAGGCCGAGGTCGCACCTTTACTAGGGGTAGCCCAGCGAGGTGGCATGGACAGACCCAGCGAGCACACCCGGGAACGGGTGGAGAAACCCTTACGAGCCCAGACAGACACGAAGGCGACCGCCCCTTTGGCACCTTGTTGGGAGGAACCGGAGGGGTTAAAACCCCAGGAGCCGCCGCTGGGGCTCAGGCCGCCTGCTCTGTGGGGTGAGCACCGACCTAGGAACCAGTACGGTGCCGGCGGAATTGCCAACCCAGCTTTTCTTCTCCCCTTTCTCTGCCCCAGACAGCCCAGAGGAAGCCTGGCTACACCAGCTCCCGCCTCGGCAGCCGCTCCCGTGGCACGGGACACCTGCTGGTGTTTTCCACCAGTGCGGAGCTGGAATAACTCCCTTTCAATTTGACGGTCTCTGTCATGAGAAGCTATTTATTGGTTTAGAAGGCTGCGCTGAGCAAAGCGCTGAAGAGAGGAGCAGAGAAAATTCACGTTGCCGGCGGAGTTGGTTTTCGTGGCGCGAGAGCGCTGGAGGCGGTGGCCGCTCTGCGCGTCCTGCCCTGGTTTGTGCCGTTGGCAGCAGCAGGGTCTGCCCTTCCCGGTTTCCCGGGGCAGAGGGATGGAGCTCACGGGGCTTGAGCAGTGTGACGCTGGAGCCTCCGTAACGAACGGCGTTGAGGCGACGTCGGGGCTGGGGGCACGGGAAGCGGCTGAAGGGACGGCAGCGCTCAGGGGCCGTCGGGACCTGGGCCCGCTGAAGGCACCGGCGGAGCTGTGGGAAGCGGGGAGCCGCCGAGGCAGCGGCCGGGACTGGCGCCGGCGGGCTGTGGCGGCGCTGCGGGTGCGGCTGTGCCGAGGGGCTCGCGAGGCCGGGCCGGCCCCGGCGGGCAGCGCAGGCTGAAGCCGCTCCCGTGCCCGGCGGCGCGCGGGCCGGTGCCGCTCCCCCAGCGCGGGCCGTTGGGGCCGGCCCTCGCGCGGCGGCCGGTGCAGGGCGAGTGGCCCGAGCGTCCGTTGGCGGGGAGAGCCACGGAGGGGCAGCGGCTGCCCGGCGCTGTCGACCCCAAGCGCTGCCCGGGCAAGCTGTGGCAGCTGGTGAACAGCCCGCGCTGCGGCTCCGGGCGCTGCGATGCCCGTGGCGAGGGGCAGCTCATCGACCGGCGGCTCTTCGAGCGGGAGCTGCCGGGCGCGGGGCCGGCCGGCGAGGGGGCGGTGCTGGCCGCCGCCTTCTTCAAGATCAGGAACTTCCCCAGCTTCATCCGGCAGCTCAACCTGTACGGCTTCCGCAAGCTGGGGCCGGGGCCCCCGCAGGGCCTGCCGGGGGCGATGCCGGCAGCTCGGCCGGGCCCCTGCTCCACTTCCACAGCCCCCGTTTCCGCCGCGACCGCCCCGACCTCCTCGTCCACCTGAAGCGCCTGACGAGAGCCAAAGAGAAGCCGGCGGCCGGCCTGCAGGTGCCCAGCCGCCCGCCCCAGCGCTCCCAGCGCCTGCTCGGCACGGCGCTGCACGGGGACCCGCTGCTGCCGCCCCCGGGGCTCGGCGAGGCTGCCAGGCCCGGTGAGCTGGGGTGGGCCCCGGCGTGGGTGCCGTGGGGTTTGTAAATCGGCACCCTGGAGGTGAGGGGAATCCCAAGAACGTTCCTCCTCCGTGCACGGCAGTAGCGATGCTGCCTCAGCTGTCATTCAGTGGGCTTGAAGCGATGGCCCATGTGCAGTGACAACCAGAGCATCCCGTCAGCTCTGTGCAAAGGTGAAAAGATGCAGCACCGAGGTTTCTGTCAGGTGTCTCCATGGGCTAATGGTTTATGATTATAACACAAACCCTAACAGTAACCCCTAAGCCCTAGCTCTACAGTAACCCTTACCCTAAACCTAAACCATAACACTAACCCTAATCTTGAGCCTAACATTAAATCTAACCCTAATCCCAGCCCTAACTGTAACTCCTAGACCTAACCCTTACCCTAATGTCCCCTAATCCTAACCCTAAATCCTAACTCTTTAACGCTAACACCTTACCCAAAACTTACCCCTGAACCTAACTCTAATGGCCTCAAATGTTATCCCTAATGGCTCATAACCCTAATGCTATCCCTAACCTTAAAGTGTCAGGGTTATTATCATAATCAAACATTAGTATTATTAATAGCAAAGCTGGAGTTTGGAAAAGCAGTGCTTCATGATTCCCCTTTTATTGTAACGTACTGTCTGCTGTAGCTCACAGCACTTTCTGAATTCTTCATGCTTGGTTTAGTCGGGTGGCACCCATTTTGATTTATAGCACATTTCTAACTCCTGATCACTTGTTACTGGAGGTTTCAGGAGACTGAATGGTCATAGGCAACCGTGTGCTGGCATAGCCTGTTACTGTATGTTCAGGTGTAAGAATAAAGTCTGTGGATGAAGAACATTGGAGCAAAGGTGGTCTTCCCAAAGAACATTGTGGAGCCTTGGTTCCTCAGCCTGCTTTGCAGCGCCAGTGCAAACTGCTTTCCTTAGCCCTTGTTTCCCTTTGTTTTGCAGGACTGGTGACTGGAGGACAGGTTCCTCAACCTGGTGGTCCAGAGAGCTTCTTTGGTTACTTGGACAAAGCGGCCTTGGGCCAGAACCCCAGTGCTTTTGTGACAGCCTTTCCAGCAGACTCCAATCCCTTCCAGAACATGGCAGGGCTCTTTTGGGCTGCTGCCAGGGCACCGGGCTTCCCCAGCTTTTCCAGGCCCAGGGGCTCCCTTTCCCGTCCTGCACGAGCGTTCCACAGAGGCCACGTACACTCTGCAGACTGTGTTCTCACTTCTGCCGCTTCAGCGAGGGGCTCCAGCTGGGGCCGCTTCCCTCCCGCAAGACAGCAGCTGCGAGTCTCCAGGGCAGTGCTCGCAAGCCCCCGATCCAACGGGTATGGCCAAAGTTCTGCACTTGCTGCTCAAGCAGTTATTGACAAGTGATGCTGGAAATGTTTTTCTCCAGTGTCTGTCCCCATGTGTGTATCTCGGGTGAAAATTAGACAGCAAGCGTAAAGTCTAGAAAACGAAGAGAGACTGTGAAAGGCCAAAGATGTTCTGGTTTGTGTTCCTGTCTTTGGTCCAGCTTTTGAGGGTCCCCTGGTGATCTTCCAGAGATCCTCTCTTTGGAGGCTCAAGGGTGAGGAGAAAACCAATTGGCCACAGCCAGTCAGTGTTAGGCTAACTTGCATTGGGTTTTTTCACTTCTCCCATGTTGTGTCCTACAGAGGGGGTGAAGTTTTCCATCCATAGCTTGTACGGGCAGAAGTGTGTCTCTTTTTTGGCAAACCCGAAATCTCCATTGAGGCCGATCCATCTTGTTTGATGGGAGGGGCTGTATCTTTCCCTTCATTTGTTCAATAAATGATGATTTATTTAATAAGCTGCCATTCATCCCCCTCTCGTTAGCTTTCAAATGAGATCACTGTTCCCTGTCCGTTACTTGAGAACAGCTGGTGACAGAACGTGCTTTAGCTGCTCATTTCTTCTGGCTCTGGTGAGATTAACAATGGCAGAGACAGAACAGCTTAGAAATATCTTCTCTGCACTTCACAGGGTAGGAGAGAAGTGTGTGAGTGCAGCAGGTATGTGTGTGGAATCTTGATTCAATTGGTAGACTTGAAGTATTCGAAATAAAGTGACACCTTTGGCTTTGCTAACACTGCCCGTCAGTAAAGATTATCTGTCCTGCAAATAATGCCTTACTCTGAGGATATCTTTGCAAGTCACCAAAAAATAATACCTGCAGAATACAGCTTCAGCTACAAAACTGTTTTTTTTTTGAATAAGATCAGTGTTTAATCATGAGTGTGAACATCCAGACCCTTCCTGTGTGAATCCACTTCCTGTGGTATGTTGTGATGAGACAGTCAAGTGGCCAAATCAAAAAGGGGATCTTAAGATCTAGAAGACTGTGACTATGAAGTTTCCCTGAGTGCGCAGATCAGTTTTACAATAGATATTTGTAATCTGCATGCACATGTGTCAGGATCAATATGTTTTAGGGTGAAGAAATCAGTCTTCCAATCACTGGAAGATGGGTCATAATGGGTCATAACCCATTTCAGGCACTGAGTTTACTCTGTGGTCAGTGCAGTGTTTAATCCAAGTAAGCAGTAGAACTATGCACACTGGACACCAGTTCTGGCAGTCTGAGCTCTGTGTTTGAATTCTCCAGCTGCACTACAGTGTCCATCACCCCCTGCCCAGGAAGAGCCTCTCGCTGCCAGTGCTGCAGCTGCAGCGTGCACTGGCTGCGGCTTTGTGCAGGTGAGTGCAGCACAGGAAGAGCAGGGGGAAGCGGAGGAGCCCCTGCGCATGGACCGCAGGGTTCTGGGCTTGTGGCAGGAAGGAGAGAAGTTTGGGAAAGGATCTGCTGGAGAAAGGGCAAGTCACGGGGTTTCCCAATGCCCATTCGAGAGCAGCACTGAACGTGGCAGGAGCAGTGGCTGTCACACAGGTGAGGTGTCAGGGCAGCAGCATTGTGGGTGTCCTCATTGCTGGAGAGGTTTTCCTGTCAAAGTGATACATTTGGCTGCACCAGAATTTGCTTCAGTTCATGAGTCTCTGTTTAGCTGAAGAATGTCCTTGCCTGCACAATAGGTGATTCTTTAATGTTACGGAAATCCTGGAACCAGCTCCACTTTTCTGTCCCAGAGAGCTTGCGGCAGTTCTGAGTTTCATTGGGTGAACGAGGAAAACTAAGGTGACTTTCGGAATTGGGCTCACCTCAGAGATGTCCTATTAAAGAAAACTCCAGTACTTCCTGTCGATGATTTCTGGAATTTTGGTGGCAATTGCTCCCTATTGGGTGGCCTGGCTTATCAAACAGCAAAAGAACCTCAGTACAAATGCCAGGACTTCCTTTTGCATTGTAGCAGAATGCATATGCTTTTGATTGTTTTCTTTCCAGAGGACAAGCCAAGCAAGTTCTGTTTCTGTGCATTGCAAAAGGGCTGACCTATGCAAGCTTGATCATCCAGTTTCTTCTCTTGCAAATATCAGCCTTTTGTCTTTATTGCATGTTTTTCTTTTTTCATCTGAGCTTACCCAAGCTGGGCAGGTTGTGGCCAGGATAACACATTGCTCTAAGGCTAGAAATAGCCAACAGCCAGGCCTGCCGTTGATAGGCTGGTATTTCTTTCTCATGCAGTGCATCTTTGTCCTCCCACTTCCATTGTGAGCTGCTTTTCCCTCCAAGACGTGAGGATCAGTCTGAGTGTTGGGAAGTCACAATCGCATAATTGCTCAACTCAGAAGGCTGAGATCAGTGCCTGGGATAGCAAATGGTCCCCAAGGAGTTGTCGGGGTGGTGGTGTGGCTAGATTGAAAGGTGATAGAAATACACTGTCCACAGGGCCTAGTGAAAATCAGGTGCTTGATGAAAAGCAAGTCCATGGAGTCAGAAGAAATGTACTGGTTCCTGAAGCAGTAGGTGGCCTGGTAACTTACTGATTAACCACTTGCTGGTTAGTGGTTGCTTGGATTATGCAGCTGCCACCAGGGAAGTGCCAGTTAAAAGCTGCTGGTGCATCTGAGCAGATTGCTGGAAGGTCCCCTCCATGTGAGCAGCCCAGAGGCAAGGAAGGACGTAAACCAGTGCCGCCAGGTCAGTGCCCTGCTGCCTCTGAGCAGGTCAACACAAAGTATTGTACAGAACGGCTCAAAGGGACTTGAGGCTTCCAAGTGTTAGTGTAGCCTGGATCATTCCTCCAGGGTGGGGAGCAGGGTGGCCGGGGCTGTGCAGGTGGCACAGAAGACAGTGCTCTGCCTGTGAGTCTCACTGAGCTCTGGCCAATAATCAGGTTACCTTGTGTGCGCTCTGGGGCAGGCACTTCCCCAGGGTTCTGTTGAGGGATGAAGGCAGCTCCAGCATTGCTCATCCTGCCCTGCTTGTGTATCGATCATCAGAAACCACCTGCACAGTCCTTAGATACAGCAATACCATCAGCCCTGACTGATCAATCACTGTGTGGTTTTGGTACAAACGTTCCCTGTCTGTTGTTTCTCCCAGAGTCCATCAGCGCAGCCACCTTCTGCAGCTGAATGCCTGCCCTCTGGCGGGGCATCTGGTGAAGAGAAGATGATGGAGGAATTAAGTTTTGAAGCCATACTTGAGGTTCTGGATAAGATGCTTTCACCACTCAACGCCGAAATAGTGCCACCGGAACCTGTGGAGCGCGAGATGTCAGTCCCTCAGTCTCTCAGAAGTCAGCCACTCCTGGTTAATAGTGGGAACAGCCACACCCCTTTTGCTGCTGAGGAGAGTCAGCTGGCACCTCTGACTCCTGCAGCAGCAGACACCTCATTTCTGATTGAAGCAGCTCAAGCATTAACTGCTGCAGAAGGCTGTGATGGAGAACTTCTTTTTGCTCCCTATGACACCGCATCCATAGAATTTGCCGCTGCTGCTGAAATGGCACTAGAACCTGTGGCCACACAGAAGCCCCCGAAGAAGGGAGAGAACAGGTGGATCACTGCCCAGCTCACCCCCTTTTACATCCTTCAGCTTCAGGGTGTTGATTCTATAGGCTATTTGCAGAGGAGATTCATACTCTAGAAGAGGTGACAGAGAGACGGTCTTTCTGTCTACAGATGAACTCCAAGTGCTTAACTCTGGGCTTTGACCTCCTCAGTGGAACAGAAACATCCCTTGGCTGGTTGGCTTTTTTCCATCTCTTTTTTCCCCTCCAGAGTTGTGCCACATGGCCATGGCAACGGAGCAGGTCAGGCAGTGGTTGCCTGCAAAATAAATGGGGAGCAGCAGCAGAGGGCTCCAAAAAGCAAGCAACACATGTTGCTGCTGGAGTTCTTCTAGCTTATTTCTGGTAGCTGATTTGAGAAATGAGGGCAAAGTTCAGGTGGTGAGGACATGTACCCTGACTTTGTGGGTTCTAGTTTCAATTTGGCAACCTGAATTCTGAGTTCCAAACACTTGCCACGTAAACCATCTAGGCAGCGCTCAGCACTTGTCAGGTGTCCATTTGGAGCAAAGAACAGTTCCTGGTTTGTCCCTACAGCCATACCAAGAAAACATTGAGGGATCTTTGGTTTCATTTCTTTGTCTCTTTCTTTGTTTGGTGTTTTTTTAAAGGAGAAAACTAGTGTTCAATGGGACTCGGTGACAGAAGAGAGACACTTGACTTCAGGAAGCCAGGCAGTGAGCAAACTTGTAGAAGAGCCAGGGTCACCTGTAAAACCGGGTTGCAGGAAAAGAGGACACAGCTGGGGTGAGGGTAAGTCCCTGGTGGGAGATTCTCCGTTGTTTAGAGGTGGCCGAGGCAGCTGCTCTGAAACTCTTCCAGAAAGGGGAGATCAGAAGAGTTGGGTTATTGTCTGCAGTGTGAGTACCTTGGGAAGGGCCTTTGGTTAAAACGTTCCACTTGTAGAAGCCCTTGGTGTCCTTCCCAACGTGCTGCTTTGGATATGCTGCCGCTAAGTGCCCTTCTGTGGAAAAGGGTAAAAATGAGATGGGTCGATAAAAGCTGAAGTTGTGGGGGTTGTGTCAGACCCTGGATGTCACAGTACACAACAATGAGATGAAGTCCAGAGATATGTTTGCTGGAGGGTGACAGTGCCACGAAAGAAACACTGACTACTGAGGTGACTGTTGAAGTGAGAGGGCAAAACCCCACCACACTGATGAAGTTAGTGCACAAGTCCAACCTTTTGGCTCAGATCATGAAATAAATCTTGTACCAGTCTCCTGATACTTGTGAAGAAAGACATAAGAAAAACAAGCAGCAGAAGATCTGAGGCCAAGCAAGTCACAAACCTATAGGTGACACCCGAATGGCCCCAGGTTAGAGAGACGTAAGAGGACACAGATCGTCCTTTGGGCCCATCCTAGATGAGAGGCTGGTGCAGCCTGCAAGTTTCATGGGAAGCTGTTTCCCTCTCATCTGTTCATCCAAGAGCTGATTGCAGAGTTTGAAGAGCTGTTGCTCACTTTAAAGGGTAGTCTCTAGATTCCAGATGTGATTAATAGTTCCAGATGCTGATTAATGCCAGTTAAAAATGCAGCTCCAAACACCTGTCCCTTTCAAACCTTTCAGTAAGGAGAAAAGGGTTAGGGCTGGATGCCATCCTGAGAGCAGACAGGCTTTCGTTTAAAATGCAGAACTGAGAGGTCTTGATCAATGACTTCCTGGTGGCACGGATCATTTCTGTAGCTAGCACCAGGGTTTGATAGCAATTGATGTTTGGCAGCTGATGTCCATGGTGGCAAATGCAGAGATAAAGAACGGAGCTTGAAGAATGGGAGCACATTTTATTTTTTGCTGTGTTTCTATTGACAGCGTTGACAGGTTGGAAGAACTCCTGTTTTAAAGAGTCAGCCTCAAATTCTCAAGGCACAGGTCGCCGTTGGGCCAGGTTTTACTGTACCTGATGGCAGCACAGTTGCTGTGCATGCTGCCAAATGAGCTGTAGGAAAGGCCTGAAACTGACTCGGTGTTCTTTGCTTCCTAGATCCCCAGGAGCTGGGAGGTGGAGCCTGCAAGCAGGGCTGCTCCGTGGAGGAAGGCACCGGAATGAGGAGTGTGTGAACATGTGGGTTCCCCCCTGAGAGTCCGGCAGCAGCGCTCCGCACACAACTGGCAACTGGGATTGGGCTCACACCTCTTCTGCACATTTGAGAACTTGGAAGATATTTATAGCTTTATAGCTTTATTTGTATCTTCATAGCTTTATTTGTATCTTCATGCATTATTTATACCTTTATTTATAACTTTATAGTTATATAAATTTATGTAAAGTTATATAAAGTTATATATAGTTATATAGCAATATATATCCAAATAATTGATTCACTTCTCGGACACTGTATTTATAGCGATAGTTGATCCTAAGGTTTGACTAGCTGTGCTTCTGTCTGGATGGGATGACAAGTGATGAAGTCTTAGTACTAGAATATTTTAGTATGCTAATTTGAAAAGGGTTTGGAGGAGGATCTCCTGCGGTACAGCACTTTCTGTTCACACATGCAGGTAACACATAGGATTAAGTAAGTTTGCGATAAGACATTTTTAGCTCTATTCTTGTTAAGGGGAAGAGGAAGGGATTTGTTTTACCCAGGGATGTTGTTCTCTCCATCTGCTCAGGAGCAGCCTGCAGTAAATTTTCTTAAATGCAATGGGCATTGCGTTTCTGGTTTTTCTGTGTTGGAATTACAAATGATGGAGTGTCCCAGTTGAAAGAAAGTCTTCTTGTTTCAATCAGTGTTGCTGCCCCTTTAACCACCAGATTGATCTATACAAAGATAGACTGAGGTGAGGTCAGAGGCAGAAGTTCTTCCCTGTAAGGATGGGGCTGGGTATTGGTCAGTCGTTGGTGAGCAACTGTATTCTCTCCCCTTGTTATTTCCTAGGCCTCAGGAATTCCCTGCAGATTTCCTTTCTACATTGTTCCTGTTTTTCTAAGGCCTTCAATCCTTCTCCTGGGTGGTAATGCCCATTAGTCCCTCCTTCGTGCTAGCCAGTTAGCTTGCACCGGAGACCACAGCGTGTACTTTAAGAAGCATGTCGACAAGCCATGAGTAAGGCTGGTATTTCACCCCTGAACTGCATCCTTTCTACTTGATAAGGTTTTGCTGTGGTGTTCCCAGCTCTCTTTTCACAGGTTGTTTTTGCTCCTCAACAGGAACTGTGGGAACGTGTTTTGTGCTGCTTGCTGCCACCTGAAGTTGCCCATCCCTGATCAACAGTTGTATGACCCTGTCCTCGTTTGTAACTCCTGTTATGACCACATCCAAGTCTCTCGTGCCAGGGAGCTCATGAGCCAACATCTGAAGAAGCCCATCGCCACAGCTTCCAGCTGAATGCCACCACAAGGGACCTGTCTAAGCCCAGCCTTTCCTCTCGTGGGTTTGACGGGTGACTGCCTCCACTGTCATTGTGAAGGCCTTTGATGCAAGGCTTGAACACCAAGCTTGAATGCATTGTCTTCAGCAGTCTTACTATCAGTCTGGAGCAGAGGAGCTCAGATTAGAGAGTATGGTGTGTGTGTCCCCACGCTGGTACCATTGTAGCCTTGACAAGCTAGGGCTAAAGAGGGGATTGCAACCTCTTTCTTTTGTGGGCTGGAAAACAATGTTTTCACAGATAATGCCCATTCAAAGTGCCCCAAAAGCAATAGAAAGGCATGTTTAGAACCAACTCCCACTGCTTGGCTGCTGTGTGAGGAGGAAGAGGGCAGGCTCCAGTGGTGCCATGGGCGGTGGAAGGGCCTCAGGCCGGAGCAGCTCTGTGGATTCTCTTTCCGTGAGTGTGATTTGCGATCAGCTCGGTGAATAAGACTCATCAGCCATCACTAAGGGATCTTCTCTCGTGCGTTGAAGAGAAATTCACCGTGGCTGAAAGCGGGCCCAGCAGATCTTGCCCGTTTCCATGCTCCGCTGGAACTGATGAACGCACTTGACTTTGCCCCTGCCCCCAGCACTGCGGGGAGATGGGAGGTTGGCTTTTCAGTTCTGCTCTGCCCGTCTGCTTGTCTGCGCTCATGTCACAGCCTGGTGCTACCAGGAATGGCACTCTGATCCTCTCCTGGCACGGAACCAGAACTCATGTACCTCTGTTGTTCCTCCTCCCCTCTTCTGCCCTCAGTTCTCCACTTCCTACTGCTCTTTATCCTGAAAACTTGATACCTTGAGGGTACAGGCCATAATGTGTTGTTTTACCTCCGGGAATGTGCTGTCTGGTGTATGTGAGGGTTTCAGTTCAAATGCTGCTATATATTTCTGTGCACTTAATGTAACCCGAAGAAGGGAGAATGAAGCATCGATACCAAAATGGGGATGGGGAAGGACACTGGCTCACACAGACACTGCGCTCTGTGCTTTTCACTTCAGCAGGTATAGCCAGGCTGCAGTGATCAACAGGACACGTGCATCTGTTCAGTGGTGGAAACGATCTCTCCGACTTATTCCAGCGCCACCTAAAATGCCTCTAGAATTTGACTTTTTTCGTTTCCTGTACAGTGGTCAAAGTTCAGAGTTGCCAACTTGTAACTGCCTCTCTGCTTCTTGAAACTAGAGAGCCGGAATCCCAACTCACTCTGAGGAAAAGGAAGTGGGGTTAGAAAGAAAAAAGGTTTAGGAGGAAGGTGGGCTTTGGGTGGGCTTTTAATCCCTAGATCCCTTGGAGAGCACCCGTCCCACCTCCTTTCTAAGAGATCTGTGGTGTTAATGAGGAAGAAGAGTTTCAAAGTGGGGATTTCTCTGCAGAAATGCAGAGGTGTGCTCCAGCTAAATGAAAATGTCTGATAAATTCTGCACCTCAAGAGCTGAGACTTTGTGTGTGTGGGGAGGACGTGTGAGGATGTTTGCTTCTACTAACCAGGCAAAGTACTTGATGCTGTTGCGATCTCCCAAATTCTTTGCTAATGGTTTGTCATCTCTGTGGGAGGGAGTGTAATAACAACCCTTGCCTGCACTTTGATATGTCAGCCTCTGGTTTTGTAAATCCCAATAGTGCAAGCAAAGCTAGCATCATCTGAAGACCCTGTACTTCCTTGGACTCTGCTTCTTTTCCATACCGGGAACAACCAAGATGGCTTTGGGAAGAGAAGGCACCTTGCTTCAGCTTCTTCCCTGCCTTCTACCGTGCAGTCATTGCCAGACATGGGAGAGTGCCCATTGGGCTGGCAGAAGAAACTGGATTTGCTCCTGTTTTGCACGTGTTGGAGTGACTGCATGCGATGGGGAAGCCAGAAACTAGGTACTCCTGGCCCTTTCGTTCAGGCCATTAGTCCAAACTGCTTTTAGCTCTCGTGAGTTCAGCGTCACAATGTGCTGGCCAAAAACCTCTAAAATCAGTTCCATAGCATTGTGACAAACAAAATGTGCTGTACAACTCAATGCAGTCGAAATAAAATCTCTATATTAGTGCTGCTGTGTTTGGGACCCATCCTTTTGTTTGTGCTGAATTCTTCTCATGGTGTTTCCCAGGCTGCTGGCACTTGCTGCTTCTCCCCTTGACGAAGGTACTTTAGGGATTTAATATTCCGTGTCACAAATCAGAGTGAAAGGTAGGACACGCAGCCCCCTGTGCTATGGTCTCCTACCCCGAGGCCCCACACGCTCTTCCCAGCAAACGCGCAGCTGCCTGGGACACCAGCCTCTTCCAGCCTCGCCTGCAATGACCCAAAAAGGGATTTTTCTTTCCCAGGGAAGGACTCGGACAGGAAGCACCAGCTCTTGACCACCACATTTATACCAGATTTTGTCTGGTACTTTTATGGTTGTGTTCTGCGCTGCAGAAAGATGGATGGGGACCATCGTGCTTAGCTTGATGTGCCAAGGGACATGTTGGGAAGTTACAGTTTGTGGTTGAGCTGGAAAGAATCTTCTAGAAAGCCTGTCATGAATTTAAAGCCCCAAAGATCTTGTAATTAAGCAGATGCTCTGGTAAACTAGTACTACAGTTCAGGTCAGTGTTCATATTAGACAGGTGCTACAGAAACCTCATAGCAGCCTTCCAAATACCTGAAGGGACCGATAAGAAAGTTGGAGTGTCCTTTAAACAAGAGCCTGTAGGGACAGGCCAAGGGGAATGGCTTTAAGCTGCCAGAGGGGAGACTGAGATGAGCTCTGAGGCAGAAGCTCTTCCCTGTGAGGGTGCTGAGGCGCTGGCACAGGGTGCCCAGAGAAGCTGCGGCTGCCCCATCCCTGGCAGTGCTCAAGGCCAGGTTGGACACAGGGGCTTGGATCAAGCTGCTCCAGTGGAAGGTGCGGGTGAGGCTGCCCCGGCGCGGGATCCCCCTCAGCCGCCGGGGCCGGGGCCGCGCTGCAGGCGGGCGGTGCGGCGGGAGGGGGAGCCCGAGGCCCCGGCCGCGGCGGCTCCACCCTCGCTGTGTGTCCCAGGTAGGAGAGCGCGGCCGCCACCGCCCCGCGGGCCCCGCCGCTCCGCCCCCGCCCCGCGCTCGGCCGAGGAGCGGCCTCCGCGGAGCCGGTGTCCGGCGGCCGCAGCCCCCGCCGGGCCCGCAGCCCGCCCCGCCGCCGCTCCCGGCCCAGCCCGGCCGCCGTCCTCCGCCGTGCGCCCGCAGCCGGCAGCCGCGTCCTGCGGCGGGAGCAGCACCCGGCGCGCTGCACGAGCCTTCCCGAGCCGCTTCGGCTCCGTCCTCGGCTCGGCGGCTGCCTGCGGACACGTCGCCTCCAGCCGGGCCGGCCCCGGAGCTCGCTGTCGGCAGCAGCGTACCCTTGGCTCTCGCTGGAGCCTCTCTGGGGCTGCGGAGCTCCACTCGCACTTACCTACCTGCCTGCTGCCGGCCGACGGAAACCAGCCCGCGCCCTGCTCTGAACACTCGCCTTTAGTAGAAATACCACAGCTTTTAGTTTTTCTCTGTGAATTTAAGACCATCACCAGACCCACGCGCTTTCCTCAAGCTACTGCAAATCGCTTTTGCCCGGGATTTACAGCAGCGTTTCCCGTCCCCGGCTGCCCTCCAGCCGGCAGCAGCCCAACAGGTTGGAGGAGCTTTTCTCTTTCCTTTTTCTTGCCAATCCCTTTTTTTCTCCCCTTTGCAGCAATCGCTGTAATTTGCTTTAATTGACAACATCATCTGCGCGAATCGTGCCAGCTATGAAGTTTCCTCCTCGAAACGTTTCGTGGGACCTGCTCACAGACCAGGGAACTTCATTTTTTATTCTGTGGGGCCTTTAATTGGGTTCTTCATGTGCGTTTGGAAGTGGCTGCACAGAACTAGTGGGAGAGGAACCAGATACACTGTCACCTTGTGCTTCATACCTATTTGGCATCTAAACTTTTGAAGTGTTTTGGGGGCCTTTTTTTTTCCTGGGAACTTGAAGCTATGAAGAGAAGCTCTGTGCTTTATTGATTATTCTGAGTAACCTGACTCTGGGTCTGGATGTGAATTACCGGGAGAGAGGTAATGTTGAGCTCCAAATTTGAATGAAGGCAGGAGAAGGATGGAAGTGATCAGCTGCGTGTGCAAGAGAACAGTACCGGAGGAAATGTTCTTTTCACTGTAAATCCAAGAAATCCCTCCTGCATTGTTTCTGGGAAGAAGACTGGTAACTGCCAACGACAGCGAAGGCAGAGAGCTTGAGCTGCCTCTGTGGGAAATGCTGGCAAGAAGCTGAGAGGTCTCACAAGGTTCTTTGGGATAGACATTTTGGACCTGTGGATCTTCCTAACACTTGGTCAGGAGACACGAGAGCACCATGTCTGCGGCGACACCTCCCCGTATTTCATCTCTGTGGGACTGACAAGTTCCTCATGCTCCCCGGTGTTCCTGTGTATTTGAACTGATTTCTTGTAACCTGTTCCTCTGATCTTTCCTGATTTCTGTGCTGGGGGAGGGACTCACAATTTAGGATATATATTCTTTTTTTTCTTAGCCAGTTTGTTGGTTTAAAATATGCCTTTGAGCTCCCAGCGGGCCTTTGAGCACGTGGCACCAAGCAAGAGAAGCAGTGATGGCGAGACCCGGAGCAGTGTCCTGGTGAGCAACGCTGGCGGTGACTGAGCCCCTCTTTCCTGTGTCTCCTGCCTCCCTGTCGCTGGGACACACGCTCGGAACCCCGACAAGCTTTGCCGACGGCTGGAGCCCGCCGCAGGGTGAGGACGCGTTCCCGAGCGGTATGTGTGGCCGGAGCCCGCTGCTGCAGCTGGTAGCATGAGTGCTGGCCCCCCGCTGCAGCTGGCTGTCCTCTGGCCCTGGCTGCTCATGGCGACCCTGCACGCAGGGCTTGGCCGTACAGGGCTGGCGCTAGCGGCGGCGGTCGAGTCAGAGAGGTCGGCAGCGCAGAAAGCCATCATTAGAGTGATCCCCCTGAAGGTGGAGCCCATTGTGCTGGAAGGGGAGTTTGCAAACGTTGCTGAGGTGACTCCAGCCGAAGGAAAACTGCTGCAGGTAAGAGCAGCCGTGTGCAATCCAGCTCCATCTGCCCCACTGTCCTTCTCTGGTCCTCTCTCCCTTTTTCTGTTCTTGTTGTTTCAGCTCTTGGCTCAAGGTTTTATTTTCCAACTACAGCAAGTAGGCATTTCTCACATGAACTGTCCACCTGTGTGTGTTGTTCCTTTGTGTTCCTGCCCCCCAAGCCGTGCTTGCTCCTGCGAGGGGGACGGGATGATGCATAAGGCTGCTTCTTCATTTGGTCTCGGTCTTTAGGTGCACTTGTGTCAGAGTTGAATTTTGGATATGGTCGGTTGATTCCTCACAGGTTACTGCATATCTTACTTGATGTTCTAACCCTGAGTGTGTCGAGACACAGGTGGGACACTGAGCACCTGACAGAAACCAGGATTTTATAACATTTTTTTTGGTGTGAAATCCATCAGTTTTTCTGCACACTTCTGCTGGTAGCTGGGCTTGTGGTACAGCTAAAATACACACCCAGGCTTTGCCCACCTCAGTTATTGACCCTGCTCATTGTTGTCTTCTGTACTGCCTGTACCTGAATGTTGAATTGTGCCCATAGAGCAGTTCCCATGATGTCAGCACCAAATGTTTTTATAAGTGAAATTAATGCTGGTTTCTGACCTGTGCTAAGGAGAGAGCATCTGACCATCCTGCCGTGAGGTGCAAATGCTGCCAAAAGACAGCACTGAGCTGGTCGTGAACAGACCAACCTCCTGCCTGTGACAAGTTTTGAGTTCGGTTTCTTGAGACCGGGTGCATTCTCTCTCGTTTCTGTTGGGAATTTGCTTGGCAGTTGTGTGCTTTATTCTTGAAAACAAAACCCAACAGAATAGCCTGTGTTAATACGGAATCTTCATTTTTACATAGCTTTTCCCAGTCTTCACTTCCCAAATGTGGAATGTTGTAATTTTAATCAAATTTGTAGCTGGGAAATTTAAATGAAGGTAAGAAATTGGGTATAGTCTCGTAAGGAATACAGTCAAGTCAGCTTTAGAGCATGGTCACCTGTCTGCAAATGGGAGCGGGCAATGTGTGTCATTTATAAAGCCTGTTTTTTCCACGCCTTTTCAACTACTCAGAACAAAAGCTGTGCTGTAAAACTATATTGCCAGGCTAGAAGAAAAATCTTAGCCAAATATACTCAAGGTCCTGTTCGGTCGTGAGGCAACGTCCAGGAAAGTCAATATTTATTCCTTACAAAAACTACAGTGGTGTTGCAACTGAGCACAAAGTGTAGAGCGTGGACCTTTTTGAAAGGAGAAGGTGATAACTTGGGTTGTGGGATGTGTGGATGTTTTTAACCAAATCCAGTGCTACATGGTGGGATTTTTGTCTCACTGGCTGTTGCAGCAACACAAATGAGGCATTTTGAGTGCTGAGCCCTGAGTAGTGTTGGATTTACAAATGGACTTTGTGCTTTAAAACTCATCCTCAGTATGAGAGGGCTGGGGAAACGCTAATCTAATCTGCTGAGTTTGTGTACACAGATACTAACCTGCACTGTATATGTTTTTAGGCCTTGGTTCCACCACTGTGTGTGCATAGGTGATCATTCCTGTTCCATATCCCACTGAATCCAGTGCAGAAAATCACTCGGGTCTGGTTTCAGATGGCAACGTTGGGATCGGGGGGTCAGGCTGTGCCTGCTGCAGCAGGATGTTTGTCTGGTGCCAGGCACGGTGTTCTGGGAAGGCTTAGTCAAGTGTACCTGTGACCTCTTGTGTATGTCGTATGGTGTAGTTTCTAATTCTGCACTGGGGTGCAAGATAAGTAAGAAGTTAACGGGAGGAACTATTTTTAGTTTGCATTTAAGTAGTTGGATATTAAATACACCTGAGTTAATTAGGTTTTATTGGGACATCTCATTTTACATGTGGTCGTCAGCATCCCAATCTTGCAAAAATGTTAAGCCACGTGCTCAACTTTAATGTCGTTGGAACTCTCACCTGCCTGTTCACACCTACCTGCACAATTGGTTCTTTATATGCCATTCAGATATGTAATGTGATTATCTTTGAGGTTAATGAGTTGAGAAGTCTTGGTCTTAAACCATTTTTGGATAGGTCTTCTTGGTTGTGTCTGTAAGATGCCATCAATTCTCCTGCCATTCACAGGAGAACAGAAACTGCAGAGCTGAGCTTAGCAAAGCAGAGTGGGTGATCCAGTCCTGGTTTTGGAGGAGTGCTCTCTTATTTCAGTGGTATAATAGGATTGCTTAAGGATAAGTGTTAGCCCTATATTCAAGTAAAGTTCTCTTTAACTTATAATTATCTTCAGAGTGTTCTGGTCAATATATTTTTAGAAATGCATTCTTCATGTAATATAGAAAATCCTGCATGGAAGTAATGGAACCTCAACCAAACGTCCTTCTACCAGAACACTTTCTTGGTTTCATTTCTCTCTGCTGTGCTCTCTGGGATCATCTATAGAGATGGACTTTGATCACAGTGTGTTCTTTTCTTAGAAGCTAACTTTAAAAGTACCTTCTTTACCTATATCAAAAGAATCCCTGTGTCGAGCTCCTCCTCGCACCCCTCACTGCTGTGGCCAGTTCTGCTGGGAGGTCTCTGGATTTCCAGTTTTGCAGTGATGGGTGAGCAGGTGGATCCGCAGCGCTGCCCAGGACCTGCCTGCTGCCTGCCCCTTCCAGTTCAACCCAGGCAGTGTTACCTCTGGCACTCCACTCCATGCGGGATGATGCAAAGGCAGAGGAATTTCTCAAGTAGGCAGAGCCACTTAAGGCTTTATAGGTCAAAAAACCAACACCTTAGACTTCTTACAGAAATCATCTTCAAGTTTGTTCAGAGCTCAGGCTTGTTCAGATAGTACATGCTCTGAGCATTAACTATTGCTTAAAATGAGAAAAGTAGTGTGGTGAACTAGTCGCCAATTTCCAAATAGCTGGAGCTTTAGATCTCTGCTGAGCCCTCTGCAATAGCTTGGGCTTCTGAAAAAAGTCCAAGGGAAGAAAATGTCCCTGTAGTAACATGGAAGAGCCAAACCTTTCAGACAAGTAGGTTGGGAAGAACATGTTTAGATCTTCCTGATAGCGGGCAGCCCCTGAGCAGTGAAGGACTCACCATGCCCTCTGAATTGCAGTTCTAGAGTCATTTGCAGATCAACTCCCTTTAAGATGATGAATAATGAAATTTTCACAGCCTCTCCTTCTGATCTTTATGCTGTTCTGTCAGCTGTTTTTTGAGGAATGAATCTTGGTTTCCTTCTTGCCCATGCCTCAGTCTCCAGTTGGTACTGGAGAGAGCTGTTGGTTTGAAGATAGATGGGAAAATAAGGAACATCTTGGAAAGAAAAGGAGTGAGCCACTGTAGAGACTTGAAAGAAAGAGATGGAAGATTTATCCAGTTTGAATTGCAACAGAATTCACATGCAAATGTAATTGTGGATGAAAAAACCTTCTTATTTGAGAAATAGTTCAGCACTTACAGTTTATTTTAGTAAAGTGCACATGCAAGCATACATCATTGAAAGTGAGCATTAGTATCTCTTCATTTCAGTGAATATAGGCCCAATCTTGTATGCAATGGAAGGGTGATGCTGTTAGCATGTGCAGTGTGGCTGGGATCGTTACAGTCTCTAGTTCTAGGGATAGTATTCTAGAAACAATGTTAAAAGTTTGGGAAAATTTGCAAAAAATGATGTTAAAAAGAGATAGTAAATACAGCAGTTTGAGTTTATCTATAAAGGCAAAGTGATACTCAATCAGATCACCTTACATGCCTATGTGTAGAAAAAACACGTAGATACGTAGAACAGCAGAACAGTCTTACTTATCAGGCAAAAGTATAGAACCAGTGTTCCCAAATTACATTATTTTATCACAAGTTCCGCAACACTGCTTCATTTCTGTATAACCTTTACAGTTCTATGGGTGATTGTAGGAGAAAGTAAACTTTCACTTACCCACTGAGCACATTGTTTCAACTTATTTCTGCAGGGAAAACCCTTGTGAACACAGAACAAGCTCCTAAAGGCTCCGAATGGCAAAAGCAAGGATTAGCCTCTTTCCTCTCCTCCCCAAAGAAATGAATGATTTTTAAAACTTATTTTTTAAAATCAATCTTCTATTTATGGTGGAATGAGTGGGAATTATGGGAGGATCCCAAATCATCACTGTTTAGGTGTGTGCGACTCAGAAACTGAAAATCAGACATAGCTATATCCGGAAGAGAAGCATGTGTGTATTCAGAACAGTGTTAATTAACCCTTGAAATAGTTGCAGTGAACCCCACATGATCATCCTGGAAATGGAGAGTGTTTCCAATGTGGCAATGCACAACGCTGTTGGAGAATTATAATCACCTCCTTAACTGCTTATAGAGGGTAACACTCCCAGCCCATAAGAAAGTAAATATATTAGTAGTCTTCTATACTACTAGCTCCTGGATCAACAAAGGGATGTGGAGTGCATAATGTTGACAGAGATCAAAGAAGTGGTAAAGTCTAACTAAATGATAATGGAGACTTAAATTACCTGTGAATAAACTGGTCCGATAGCACAATAAGAGTAAGTTCAAAGAAGCAATTTCTGCCTCTTGGAACAGCTAGTACTAGGGTACACAGAAATATATTCTTGACTTCGTGTTAAGCAATGTGCAAGAACTGACTCAAAAGCTGGCAACAACTGAGCCCCTTCTATTTGACTGCAGCATAATAAAATCCTTTGCCCAAGTATCAAAAAGTGGAATTTTGACACTAACCTTTAGAACAGGAAATTGCACTAAAGTGCAGCAGCAAGATTAATGGCTCTTACAGCTTAAAGAAAAATATCTTTAGATGTGGCATAGGTACTACTCAGGACAGGAAAAGCATATGGAAAAATAGAAAGCATTGTCCCAAAAAGGCAGTAGTAACCCAATACAGATACATTGGTAGGGTTCAAGAAATCATTTTGGACAAACCGTTCTTTGAAGAAATGGATGTATAGTATTAGTGTAGGACTGGCATTGTATGTAGTGTAACCTGCAGTGGAG